AAATATATACAATAGTGTTTGCCAATACAATATATCTCTTTTTAATTTTTAATTAGAATTTATTATATGGCTATAACTATTCTAGAGGTACATTAACATCATTACGGAAGCATGAAAAGAGCTACTGTTTGTATCTATCATAGAAAGTGGAATTAAAAACATTCCCAAATATTCAGATATGTGGTTTTCCAAAGGCCCATGGGATGGTGATGGTAAAATGCGACCAGTATCTTAGAGGCACTGAACTTCTTTCCCCATCTGGAATCTACCAAGTCCATACTGGCCTCCCATTTTCCACAGACACCTATGGATTTGACATTGCCTCTTTCTTGCTAATTTCAGCAAACAGGACCTAAGGCCTTTCTTCATTAATTGTAAGAAGCGTAAAGGGCTGGACTAGGAAGGGCCTCAAGAACCCTTGTAAGGAAGTGTCAAGAGGGCAAAGCAACAGAACTCAGTTGCCCTTACTGCTGTAGTTTCCTGACTTGTTTCCTTTCTTTTCTTCTGTCCAGAGTGAGCCCCAAGGACTGAGAATCAAGAGGAGCTTCGACTTTGTCTAGTGTCTGGGCACCTGTGCTCACTCTAAATTCCCTCTGTTAAACCAACTTTTCCCTCTGTGATCTGGCCGTAGAGGCTATGGTGTCAGGCCAGTGTGCTTGTTTTTATATGCAAATAAATCACTTGATTATATTTCTTGTCCTTATGTTATCATGAATATTTCAAATGAATTTTATATGGTTCATATTTATGGTTTGGGAGCTATTTTACTTTTTGGCTCACTGCCGTCTCATCTGCATATACCATATCTCAGCTGATGTTGATTGGTCTCATTTACATATTCATCATGCTCCTATTTTCAAACATATTTTGTTATAAACTGGCTTTTCTCCCCCCCTCCTGTGTTATAATAACACGTAGATGTGTTTTTAAATTGTACTCATTTCCATACATAATTTTTCTGGTTACCATAAATCACCACATTGTCACCTACTCCCCCCACTTTATTCAGTACAATCTTCACACTTTATACCAAGCTGACATATGGCTCCAAAGTAATTAAAGACAATGTAAACAGTTTACAGTGTACTTTGCAAAGCCACTTCACATTGCAGAGAGTTTAATGATTTCCATTTACTCCCAGCAAGTCCCAAAGCAAAGAAGAGTTGGGAGGCTTGAGATAAGGATGCTGATGAAGGCTAGAATGTGAACAGTGGCTCTGTCATCGTTAATGGGGAAGCTTTGTTTTACCCAGAAGACTCTCCTGCTAACTTTTCACAAAAACAGAACTGGGTTAATGAACCAGGAAGACTCATCTGCGAGGGTTAGGATGTATACTCAACTCTCCTTTCTTTTTTGATAGAAAAAAGCATGAATCTTTTGTAATTGTAAGGAGGAAGAGATGCAAGTCCATCAGTGTTATGGATACAGAATGGGAAGTTAAGGTGCTAGACAACATTATGAATAAAGAGGTATCGTTAACACTTATATACTTGGTTGATAGTTGGATGCTTATACAGCATGGGGGTGAGGGAAATAAAGATGTGCAATCTCAGAATCTGGGCAATCTAGTTAAGTCCATGAACACAAAGCACATTCTACTTTGGAATATCCAATAAGAAGCTAGAACTAATGGGCCAAGCAGTGATTTGATTAATACAGTATCTGTGTGGCTATTTCAGTTCTGGATGGCCAGGATGAACAAACAAACTCCCAACAAAAGGAATCTATAGGTAGATAAGCATGAGAGTCTATGCAGACACTGGTAATTATATGGTCATAATTAAAATACAGTCCAAGATAAAAACTACATGAGAAGTTATGTGCAAAACCTGTGCTGTGAACATTTGTTAGACTCTTTTCTGTTCTGAGAGGCAGAAGAAAATAAACTCTCAACTGGCTTAAGGAAAAGAAGGGGATTTAATGGTTCATTTAACTCTATGTTCAGAGAGAAAGAACAGCTTTAGAAACAACTTTATTCAAGTTCTAGTGTCTCTAGGACTTGGGCTCTCTCTGAGTCTTTCCTTCTATTATGTGAGTTTTATCCTCATCAATACTCATAGTGGATAGATGGTGACAATTGTCTGTCTTCACTTCTTTGTGGCATTCTATTCCTAAAAAAAGATCTGACTTTTTCATTGCTCAATTCCATGAAAGCCTCAAGATTTATGACTTGCCCAGATTACAGAAGCACTCCTCTAGCAGTCACTGAAGCTAAGAGACGTGGTGTTCAAACTGCCTGCCACCTAAGTTATGAGCTCATCTCCAGAGCTGGAAATGTCTCCTTCAACCACATGTACTTAGTGTGAGGAAGAAAAGACCTACAAACAAAACAATCCACTCTGCTGCAGGGGTGCGTGACATAGTAGAAACTCTGATACGCGGGTAAACAAAGTCTGCAAAAAAAAAAAAATTAGTTCCGCCATGAAGAAGAGCAGTGTCTCTGTGTGGTTGGGGAAGACTTCTGGAGGAGAACTGAGAGCTGAAGGATAGCAGGAGTTTCTGATTAGCATCCTCCTCACAATAATTATTGTACTTAACTTTCGCTGAGGACTTCACCATGTGCCAGGTACCAAACGAAGACTGCTGCAATCATGACTTTCCCCATCCTCTCCCAAAGTCATTAGATCTGGCAATATTAGTTGTTGCTTGAGAACTTTGATAATTAGACAGCTTTGAAGAATCTGTAGCCAAATCACAAGTGAGTGCAGGTGAAGAGGTGACTGAATGAGAGGGAGGAAGGAGGGTAGGAGAGGGTATTCTTTCAGTGGTATTCATGGTGAAAACAGAGGTAAATGCATGGCGGAAGGGAACATTTAGGAGAAAGTGTTTCCCTTTTCTCCTTTCAGTAAGGATAGGAGAGAAACATGGTCATATGCAGAATGAATTAAAGAGATTTACGGAGAGGGAGATACTGGAGATGAAGCCAGTATTTATTAAATGTAGGAAGTAGGTTAAAAAATAAAGACTTTTACTTTAGGTGAAAAGGATGGTCATAGGAAGGAGATGAGAACTTAGCCGTGACAAAACAGGATGTGAGACAGTGTGGGGATGGTGATCCTGGGGACTACAGGAGCAGGTGGCTTCCTGAGACCTGCGAGATAGAGGTGAGAAGAGTTCAACGCCAAGAGTAATTGCACTTTATACCTCATTGCAATTGACTCAGCTAACTTATAAAGACAAGAGGCAACAGATGCTGTGTGGCGACACTGTTACTGAACCAGCTTCCTCATTCCTTGTATTATTGTTATGTCAGCTCGCTTTGGCCAGCTCTTTAACCATACAATGGTCTCGTTGATGCTGAATGTCCTGTGAGGGGCCAGCCATATTTGCCAGATAAAATTTTATGAGGTGGGTTATTTTTGATAGTCATTATTTTTTATCTACGCGAGTGGTAGGATGTTTGGGGGATCCAGGAGTGCTTCTAGTCATCTAGTATATGTCACATCATTGGCCAGGCATTGGCTAGTCTACCAAGGAACAAATCTCGCAAACTCTATGACTTTCGTGGTAAGCTCTATTAAGATGAATGCCTGTCCTTGTGTTGAATATCTTTACCAGCTGAGAACATTGGAAGACAGAACATTTTAAACTGAGCTCTCAACTAACATGACAATGAAGTTCTCTTTCTCAAATACAGAATGAGGAAGCAAAGGCCTTAAAGGAAACCTCAAGATTACATAGTCAGTTTTACAGAAGCTAGCAATTAACCAGGACTCTGGCCACTGTCTTGCAAGCAGATGGTTTAATTATGAAAGCATGGGGCTTTCCTCCCTACTTTGTGTTCCATTTGTGAATAGATCATGTTCTCTCTCCCCTGGACATCAGTAAGAAATTGTCTTAAAGTGGGGGGACCAAGTAGGTGGGAAAATCCTACAGCTTCCAGGAGAAACACATGAGCTGGAGGGTAGCTTTCACCTTATTGCCATAAAAATATTTCCTTTTCTGAAAACTCAGTACATCTCTAACTGTACCTACTGACATGTAAGTATTGAATCCTGGCTGTGTCATTGCGGAGAGCATGTCTCCCTTCTAAAATCCTCCAAGGAAGCCAAAGGCCTTCAAAGGAAGGGCATATTACTTGTGGTGTGAGAGGATTCACTCTGGGTTTACTCTTGCACCCCGCCTTGAGAAAATTCCATTTGGAGTCTACTCTATGTTTAACTACATCAATAAAAGTCAGTGTTTGCTACAGCAAAGGAGACTTCGTGGCCAGTCCTGCAAATGTTCTCAATACTTACACATGTTTGTGAATCAGTGACTATTTATTGTGCATATGACTCAGAAACCAGAAGTCTAAATGATAAGGACAGAGACGTTAGCCCTTGCTGTTGATTCAAAGCTAACCAGTGCTAGTAGGAGGATGTCTTTAAAAGAGAAAGGCTGTAAACAGAAAAAAAAAATGATTTCTTTTATGAGTTATCTAATCTATGGGCCCTGGAAAGTAAATCATTTTGCAAAACCACACAAGAGTGATGGAATATTAGCAATTGTTTCTAACCACCATTGGTAAGAAGTATGATAAGAAAGGAAAAGGGAAGGCATGCAAAAGATTTTTGGAATACCCAGTGACTTTTAAATGCAGTTCTTCCCAAGGAATAGAGGTTCTAGGATGTGTTCTTAACCACCAGATCTATAGGTGCTCAGGACTTACATACATCACTATAGGGCTTATATATAACATGCATAATCTTCCCACATAGTCATGCATACTGCAACATAAATCAATTTTAGCTTACTTGAAATACATAATGCAATGCAAACCTGCATAAATAGTTGTATTATTATATCAGTTATAGAATAACAATAATAAGAATTATACACATACATACACACATCAGAATATTTTCTCCCAAATATGTTCAACCCACGCTTTGTTGAATCTACAGATAAGGAGTCATTGAAAAGGATGGACACATGTATAGAAAATCATGTTAGACATGGCACAAGGTCACCACCCATGGCCCACCTGGGGCATTCACACAGCAACATCAGATACCTACATTTTCTCTAGGTCCTCAAATCCAGAAAACGATCCTTTTGGGATGACTCGAAGCTTGGTGAGCACAAACCTCCTGAAAAGAGAGTGGGTATAAAGCATTATAATCCACCGGATCATAAACAATTGAGTGCTTGATGAATTCCATCAGGTAACACAAACACACATGGGATGCCTGCCATGAGAATAAGGCTTCAGATTGTTTCCCATTGTTCCCTTCCTCACAGAAAAGCACTTGTCCAGGCTCTGTTTCAAGAAACACTGAATAGCAGAGATGAGCAAGGGTTGGAGCCCGTCAGTCATGAGACCCTTCTACACATTGTCCTCCACTCATACTGAGCTGACCTTCCATCCCATTCATCAGGGGAAAGGGGAATCAGGAGAAAAGTTTTGACTGTTCTCACATGTTCACTGCAGTGAGCGCACCTGCTGCCAGTCCTCCTGGTACCATGGGTGAGCTGTCCAGCATCATGCCCAAGAAGAGTCCCTCCCACCCATACTCCACCATTTCCCTCTCCTCCAGGAAAACACCCCAGCAAATCTCCCTGCCTCTTTCATACATCTCATGCTTGTATGTCCGCCCTCTGCTGAATTTCACCATCCATATACAAGTATGTCACTGTTTTCCCTGTTCATGAAATCCTCTCTTTGCTGCAGCCACTTCTGGTTTTCTGACATCTCTTTTGTTTAAAATGTCTGTCTCACCCTTGTGACAAAACAACTCCCATAGGGTCCTGCTCCTCTCCTGACTCAGGGAAAATACAAATTGCTAACAGTGGCATTCCGAACCTCACAGGAGCTTCCAGCTCTCTGTTCTCTAGCTCCTTTAACCTCGTGTTTGCTTCAAAGTTTGCTAAACAGCTTAATTAATAGTAAGAGTTTGCAATGCATGCGCTAAGTAACATTTTCAGGTTCATCCTCCTATCATGCCCACAGACAGCCTCCTGACTTGCCTCTCACCTTCTATTCTCTCAAAATTCACCTTCTCAGCTGGGTTTTTTCTGACCTCTCTATGTAAAATGACAACACCCCCTGACATGTCCCCTGGCCCACTTCCCTGCTTAAAATTTTCCTCATGATCCTTCTGGCATGTTGTACATTTTTCTTTCTTTCCTGCCTTTTCACATAATTGTCTCTTCCCCTTGAGAGGCGTGAGAGCTCCACGGGGGCAGAGACTGTTTTCCGAGTTGTCACCTAGACCTGGCACATCACAGTTCTCTCTGAATGGGTTTTTACAACACCGGTGCCTGACGGGAGAGCAAAGCAAGGGATGTTTAGGAAATGCTTCAAGCACAAGCTGCCTTGCATGCTTAAAGTCGGCCTGGAGTTTCAGATGTTCTGAGCTACACTGTGGGCATGCAGGCCTTTTCTCTCCTGTTGTTTGAGCTTGGCTATTGCATGCTCCTGCTCCGTGATGAGAAGCCATGGGAGAGACCAATTCTCCTGTTTCCTACCACTTCTGTAGCTCTAGTAACAGGCTTCTTTTCTAAAAGTTTCAAGGACCACGCCTGTATTAGGTTGTTCAAGGTTATTAAAACAATTAAGATTTTTAAAAAGTCTATAAAATTTATTATTAAAAACTTGAAAAACAAAACAAAAAGCAACTCACACAACAGACCCAAAGACTATACATCTCAATGAACTTCTATATAGTCGAATAGTCATTTGGAATGTAAGCTATGTAGGGTCACACTGGATTTTACACTCTCAGTTCTGAACATATTTTTATGTGCTTTTACACTTGAAAGCAGTTTTCAAAAAAAAACAATTTTCATTTTTTCCAGAAGTCTTAAATAAATCATAACAGATATCACTTTAACATGTATGGCTGTGCTTGTACAAAAGTGTCAAAAAATTGTCAAAAGCCCAAAGTAAGAAACTGAATCCCAGATGTTATTCTAAGCCAGTTTGAGTTCAAATCAGAATCTGAAGAGGGAGGGGAGAATGAGTTTGATTTCCAGATTTGGTAACCAAGGAATTTGTATATGGATGCCAAACTGGTCTGCCAGGTAACAGAGGGTAAATGAAAAGTCTCTGCCAACCTCTTCTCCTCTCCCTCCCTTTTCTCCTCTCCCTTCCCCTCAACCCTCGCTCTTATAGTCATTCTTTCCCCCTTATCTTATATGCATCCCAGAAAGAAATGAACAGAAAATACAGGCTAGTCAATTTTCATTGAAATAGCACCCAGGAAATACTCCATAATTTGTGGAAAGCTATAAATCCTCAGATTCAGAAAACCCAAGCTATCCTACAAAAAGAAACCAAATTTCATTGCTAGATATCTGAGAATAAAAACTATGGATCTATAAGAGAAAACATTTTTAAAGCAAAAAGAGAGAAAAAGACAAAAATCTTCAAAGGGAAAGAATTAGAAAAATTTGTAAGAATATCTTCAAAACTATTAGAGAAAAGCAATTGTTAATTGAGAATTATGTGACTAGAAAATTACCATTCAAATATGAGGGTAAAATAAAGACAAAAGGATAAATTTAATTAAAGACTAAAAACTTTTAGCTAGATAATTCCTTTAGATAATAGGAAAACTTAATTCAGTAGGAAGACAGACACTCATATGCATACACACACTGTGGAGTCTAAAAATTAGTACCCTTCATTGACTAGGTAGGAATTCATAATAGTCAGAAAACCCACCAAGTCAATAAGCAATAGTAAAAGATATTGACCCTGAACTAAGTCACAGAGCAAATTAGTGTGAAAATAAAGAACTTTCTTGGCAAGAATGCAATTGCTCAGTCACTTAGAAAACAGTAAAAGATAATCTACTCCTTTACCTCAGCACACATACACCCATATGGAAAATCAACACAAAATATTAGCACTCCTTTAAATCACACAAAGAAGAAATTACAATCATAAGAAGATTTGGGGTAATATAAGAAAATAGAATATAAAAGTAGTTAAGCTTTTACTCATACACAGCTTTCAGCTTTAAAGTATTATAGTATTAGAAGGGACAGAAAGACAGAATATTAATGAGCTAAGCTTCTGTCAGAAGAAACCAGCAGAAGATGGATTGAACTGTTGAAAGAGAAAAACCATAAGGCAGTGTTTCCTCATTCTATTCCTGGATAGAATTTAAAGTGAAACCCAAAAGCAGTATGACAAGAAACATTGGCGTGATTATTGGTATTGATTGTCAGCTTGACAGGATCTAGAATCATGTAGAAGATCCTTTGCATGTGTCAGTGAGCGAGTTTCTAAGGTGTTAATTGTGGTTAGAAATCCTTTATTTAAATGTTGGTGCAATCTTTTAATTGCCTGGGGTCCCAGACTGAGTAAAAAGTAGCAAGCAAGCTGAGCACTAGACTTGATCGGCTGGATTCCTTGCCATGAACACAAGGCAACAAGCTGCCTCAGGATCATGCCACTTCATGAGCCACTGACACCTTAGCTGATGTCTTAGTCAGGGTTCACTGCTGTGAAGACATCACAAGCATACCTCCTCTTAGAAAAGAAAACATTTAATTGGAGCTTATTTAAAGTTTCAGAAGCTTAGTCCATTATCATCGTGGTGGGGAGTCTGCTGGTCTGTATGGGAACATGTTCCTGGAGAAGCAGCTGGCAGTTCCATATCTGCATCCACGGGCAGCAGGAAGAGAGGGACCCTGGGTTTGGAAGGGGCTTTTTGAAAAACTCAGAGCCTACCCCCAATGATACACTTCCTCCAACAAGGGCACACCTCCTAATCTTTTCAAATGGTGCCTCTTCCTGGACCAAGTATGGGGGCCATTCTCGTTCAAACAACCACAGTGGACTATCCCTTCAAACTGTAAGATGAGCAAGCTCTTCTTCCCTTTTCAGGAATTTGATTGCAGTAAAGAGAAAACTAATTATTAGTAATACAGTTGAGGAAACAAAAGACTGTCAATGAGTATCAATATAATTGCTGAAACAAGAGACTGGCAAGTTTTGGGAAGATGAAACACCCAGGAGACACTACAGCTTGATAAACAGTCCTTGAGCGAGAACAGTTTGACATATAAATTTTGACTTTTTATGATGATGTAAAGGCAATATGCTTTCAGGAGATGCTGTAATTCTAATTTTAAATTTTGGTCTTTTCCTGGCTACCATTGTGAGCCACCAAAATGAGCCATAGCCATGAGGGAAGGAAAGGAAACAACAAACATTTTACAGTGGGTGCTTGTTCTTGGGTATTATTTGAGGGTTGTTTTTAGACTAGCTCACATCATTGAGGATAGCAAAAGCCGTGAATACTCAAGTAAGTACTTCATATAATATATATATATATATATATATGCATATCTAGCTTATATATGCTTTTCTATATACTACTTATCTCTAATTACTTATGGTATCTAACACAATGTAAATACTGTAGGTTTGAGGAACGTGACATTAGTATTAAAAAATCTTTCTGGTCCAAGGTTGATTTGGTACATGGGTACAGATGCCCAACTATTATGTGTTGTCACTGTTTTTCTGGATATACGTATTCAATAAATTACATTAAATATTCATCAATTTGTCATTAAATAGGCTTTGTATTAAATGGTGTTGTCCAACCACAGGGCAGTTTAAGTGTTCTGGGTGTGTTTAAGACAGGTCAGGCTAGGCTGTAATGTTTGGTAAGTTAAGTCTGAGAATGCAATTGTTTTTAACTGAATATAGATCCTTTTCATAAAATATATTTAATTATGGTTCCCCCTCTCCCAACTCCTCCAAGATCTTCCCTACCTCCTCAAATAAAATTTTAAATTTCAATATTATCAACTGATTTAATGGATTTATTCATGGTGAGTCAAAAGGCATCTGTATTCATAAAGTTTAATCATTACATAAACTTTCCATTTTATAGCTGTAAAGTTAAGATTTGCTCTGCTTATTTTTAGAATGAGCAAGAAATTATTTTTGTAATATTTACAGTTTAGTGTAGTGGTTTAAAGATCTCGTAATTCTAGGCTGAAGAAATGATCCAGTAGTTAAGGGCACTGGTTGCTGTTCCAGGGAATTTGGTTTAATTTTCAGCATGCAAATGATGGTTCACAACCATCTATAACTCCAGTTCCAGGGAATCTGATGCCCTCTTCTGGC